TCTATCAAATGTTTTTATAGTATGTGGATCAGAGTACATATCCATGTAATATATTGCTGACACCATATTTTTGTTATTTATAAATGAGAGGTATCTTTGAGCCCTCGGCCTATTTAAGTAATCCAACAATGAATATAGAAGAACATTGAGAGTAACTGCATCTCTTAGGACATGTTTGTTAAAATTTTTGTTATGAAGTTCTCTTAATTTTTTTTTTCTTCATAATGCATCATGATCAGCTGTGCTTAGAGAACTATCGTAGAGAGCCCACGATGGAATTGTTGGCTATTGCGAGCACACCAAGGAAGGATTATGCGGAAAAGTCATTTGATAGCTCATTGGAGTTGAAGGAGAAGACAAATGAAATTTTTCGGTGTTATATGCCTGTATGGAAATATGATAGGGATGATCTATTTTGGGCTTTGCATGTTGAAGCTATGAGATGACATTGTAATGAGTTGGGGGAGTTCCTAACATGTGATGGATGAAATATGTTGAAGAAAAAGTTTTAGAATAAGATCGTCATATGATAGGCACTCACTTTCTTTTGATGTAATATCATGAGCTACATCATGAGGGTAGTATGTTTATTGATATTATTACACGAAAACTTTATCTTCAACGTGCTAATCATTACCATCTTTGGAATTCGATAAAAGATAAATTTAATTTTAGACATTTTATAAAAGACTAATGATGATATTATTGCATCAAAGTAAGAAATAAAAGTTATTAAATGGAGATGATTTGCAGGAGCTCCAGTTTGAGTTTGAGTATTACATCAGTTGTTGCATGTCCAACACAAACCAAACTATAAGCTCATTTGGATATGTTGCTTAAAGGAAGGTAATGCTAAGTCATTCGAGCTATGTTGTCCGTAGTTCCTAATGTTTTCTAGATTCCTATCAATGTTTGTTAAATATATGAGCATAATTATATGTAGTAATAAGTATGACATTTGAAGTTAATGTCATCCATTTTGTTGTTCAAAGCGTTTAATGTACCAAACAAAATTCTATTTATCAACATCAGTTCAAAGTAGTATTTTTTTTTCAAAAAGTTCAAGTAACTTGAGGAAACATCAACAGGTAGTTCTAATTCATTAGGTTAAAGAAACAAATACTATAGTATACTATTACTTCCCAACATTTATATAACATACTCAATCGAACGACATCTGAAGCACATTACATAATCTAGTATCAAACATAAAGAAATCTATATTTTACGTCGTGGTCTACGTGGTAGTCATCTCGTCAAAAGCTAAGTGAAATATGTTGGTCTGTTGTGAGTGATCAAATTTGTTGTAAGTAAGTCCGGAGACGCAATCCAAGCCTACGAACCTAATTCTAATCATGAATCTGGGATAGTTCATAGGCTACTTCTGAACCTTATCAAGTGCGAAGCAACTTAGAGGATAATATCCAATCAAAAATAAGATCAACAGAAAGCTATCTATCACAAACAGACTCTAAATTTAATTTTCAAATAAAAAAATTGTAAATAGAAATAATAATTAAACATTAAAAAAATAGCTGAAAAAATGAGAGTGGATGTCCACCTGGCTGTTTTGAACTTGTCAAACTGAGGCATTGTTAAATATATTTTGTACAGATGTGAAAGAAAACTCAGTGCCAAGTCCAGATTTAAACTTCTTAATATTATTCGCAATTTCTTCCTCCAATCCGCAGTCGCCAACCAAAGAAGAATCATTAAATTATTGAGTTGATTCGGTTTGTACTGTATAGAATAAGAAATGATTGAGAAAAGGACGATGGAAACCTCTTTGCAAGGTTCTGTTAAGTAAAAAACAACAAGAGAAATAAAGAGAATCATTCAATTAGCTACGTGTTGATTTTTATGTCATTCGGCTACAATTTATGTCTTCTTGAATTTCTTATAAATCTGCTCTAAAGTATGCACACCTTTCATTGCCGGAGAAGCCTACTTTACGAAATTTTATTGCCTCAGGTTACCTGATGCATCTCTACGTTCGGTATCGCTTAAAATCGCGACATCTGGCATGCCTCTTTACCCCTTATGACCCGACGACAGCCCATATGTTTTAGCACGTTTTTTAAAATATTTCGGGTTGGCCCATCGTAATGTATATGAAATGTGCGGGAAACTAAAAAAAGTAAGCGGCTTTTACCTCAGTTATAATAACCTTTTATGTATTAAACCTAAGATGTTCTACAGTCTTTACGGTTGATATAATTCTCATATACCTCACGTAAAGAAATCGTGAAGTATTTGAGGAGATGGAATGATCGAATGAAGGTTCTGCTTCCTTAGACTTCTTCGATTATGAGGAAACTCCGACGTTAAACTTTGATAAAGCTTTTTCTAATCTAATAGTAGTAAGTTGTTATAAATACTGTTTGTTTTTCTTTACTTTTTAGTGTTTCATTACTGGGTATCAAACGTTGGTTTCAGTATTAACGATCATTACTCGGTATGAAGTTTTTCTTAGGTCGGTTATAGGTCGGTATTCATTATTATAGATCGGTATACGCTAGGTACTGATTATAATAGCTCGGTTATAAGTCGGTATTCATTATTATAGATCGGTATACGATCGGTACTGATTATAATATATCGGTTTAAACTCGGTGCACAGTTGTACCGAGCTAATAAATATTAATACGTCGTAGTAGTACCGATCATTACTCGGTATGAACTCCTCCTTAGCTCGGTATAAGGATGGTCTTAAGTATTATAGATCGGTATACGGTCGGTACTGATTATAATAGCTCG